TTTTGTTTAAGTGGCCAGAAGTTCTGAAAAAATTTTCTTACCAATGCAAGAGATAAATTACTTCTGTGTGCTTAGGAGATCAAGTGTCAGATGATATTCAGTAGCTGCCAGCCCCTTCCCAAAGAGTCTTAGAGCCACTACATAACAACAAGCCAGAAGAGGGTCTAAAAAGTGTTAAACTTCTCTGCTTTTTAATGCCCAGTAGAGACATCATAAAAAATAATTCAAAAAGTCTGAAAACAAGTCATGTGTTATAAATGAAATCCTGGACTTAGAAGGGAAATTTGAATCTGAAATCAATTAGAGATTCCCAACAAGTATGAGGAAGAAAATGCCAAACTAAGGTGGAGCATTCTGTTTCAAATTTTGATGATCCTGAAGTATAGTGCTTCTTGCACAGTTTTTGCTGTCTTGGGTTACCAAATCTTGTTAAATCATCATGGAAGATTTTCAGCACAGTGACATGTGGGCTCCACGTGACTGAAATGCCACGTCTCTCTCAAGGATTTCCTGCAGAAAACCCCRTTCCTGTGATGCTGGCACAGAAACTCTGGGAGTGCAGGATCTGTGCAGTGTTTCTGACTCAGCTGATGCTGGGAATACTGGAAATAGTGAAAGTCCTCAAATTCTTCCTACAGGAAATTTCCAAGATGAAGCCTGAACCGAGCAGCAGTATTGACCAAAGTAAGCCCCAGGTAAGTTTCCTTTAGATTTCTGCCATCCAAGGACACAGTGGGCARACCCTCYAGAAACACATCACAAATACAAGAAAAAAAYACAGCACTCAAGAGAAGAAAAACAAAGAGGACAAACAAAAATCTWGTCYCCTGTTTTGTGAAGTTTAGRATGACTTTATRCCCATGTTTAATACATTRTCAGCTTTCAATCTGAATCTGTATYTGATGYAYAYTKGTTGCCCATATGTGAATAATCTCCTTCATAAAAAAATCACCCTTTTAGGGAATGACAGACACCTACAATATTTAGGTATGAAATTTCACATTTGGGTTCACATGAAAAAGGGGAGCATTTTTAGAGTGGGTCAATTAAATGAACAGATGTGCACTGCACAGGATAAAAAGATTCCCATTACATTGGTTTGGCAGATTGCCGAGAAGAGTACCTTGTGAARGCATTCTCCTTTCTGCCCATCCTCGTAAGCGTGGTATAAAGTGACACTGCTGTATCTAGGTCACTGAACAGTGCCAGAGCCAGAGTAATGTTAATGAAAGCCAAGGCTGACCAAGCCCTTTGTCCCCTCCTTTCAGCCAAGTTTCTCGCTAACACTGTCTCTGTCCTTTCTTCATTGAACCAGGAATCAGTTCTGAAAATATTCTCAACCAGACAACTAATCCCTCTGTGCAACTGTACCCTGGACTACTTCCAGTTTCAATTTGGATTTGAGATTCATTGTTCTGCCTTTCATTTTCCTTGACCTGAACTGCTTACCAAARCCCTCCCCTAAATCTTGAATGTTTCAGTGAAGTGGCACATAAATCTGAGACAATCCTGTCTGGGTTTTATTTTTATGAAGTAAAATCCAGAACAACAACAAAAAAGAAGCAGAACTGGTCCCCAGTGTTTACCTACATCTTTCCAAATTGGAAATCCTGTGCCCCAAATTCAAGCTCAGGTTAGATCAGGTTTCAGTAGAAAATTTTTTGGAAAATAAACACTTGGCAACTCTAAAAGGAAAATTATTAGTGTTATGAGACTGAAGCATGGCATTTTTAGGGCATGTTGGTCATTTTTGGAATATTTCTTCATGAGGTCAAAAAATAAATAATAATAATTCAAAATGAAACAAAGCAGGGACAATTTTTTTTTTTGCTGCAACAAGACTTTTACATATTTAGGTGCTGTGTTCAGGACAGTATCACTCTAACAAATCATGTTAGAACTCACTGACGATCCTGTAAAGATATCCCTCATTAATGGAAGCACTAACCAGATTACAATCCTCTTGCATGCCATAAATCCGCTGTGGGCACTCAGCTCTCTCCAGTAACACTTTGACCAGTTCTCGTGAGTGGTTCATGTGGAGCTCAGTGTTTTCAGCTGAGAGAACGCGCAAAACTTCCACCAGAGAGCCTTGGCTGCGAGGATTGCTGCCTTCCTGCCCATGCTGTTCCCCAGGCTGTCCTTCAGCAATGAGCACGCTGAATATGAAAGCAGAACATACCACCCCAAGAGCTGGATGCTTGGTCAGAMAACACATCTCCTCTTCCCGCAGTGCGTGATCTGCACTGAATGTTGRATTGCTGTTTGCACTTCACAGCTTAAACTGGAAACCTGAAGAATCTGAATGGTAAAGGGGGAAAAAACCCAACCMTTTAATTAGTGCGAATGCAATATGTTCGAAAGGATTTATTAATTGGTCGGCTAAGCTGATTTGCAGTGACAAGCTGTTTTTGAACAACAGGGAGCCTGTAAGGGCTTTACAGCACAGAACAGCAGGAAACTAAGACAACCGTGGCCTCAAAACTTGTTAAGAATTATCAAAAAGAGGTTGTCTCAAAGTGCCCTTCCCTCTTCTTTAAAATAAAGTCTATGGCTTTCATTTCAGTGTTACATTATTGCATTCACTAATAATTCTTTTCAGCCAGAATGGGAAAATACCATGGCTTTCACTTTCATTTCATTATGGAAACAGGTTTTTAGTAATAAAAATAGCTGAAAATAAGTATTACTAGTCTAATACTGATATGAATGGGCAGTAATTATGTTACACAGCAATAATGTGAAGCAGGTTATATTGTCAAAACACTTTACCAACGTTACTAAACTCCAGCAATACAGCTCAAAAAAGAAGGAATAGGATGCACTTAAAAATTAGTGATATTTATCAATACACAGACAAAAGAATTACAAAGGTGAGGTTATAATTTCTCTCAAAGAACTCAGTGAATAAACCAGAAAAACAAGCTTAAATTGTTAACTCTAGGTACAAAGCACATTTTGTCGTGTCACAATCCTTCCTAATAAACCACTCCCTCTGATTTAACAGCAATCTATCTCAATATCAAAGCACAAGAAATATRAAGGAGTTTCACTTCTGTTTTCCACAGAAGTTTTGATTTTATTGAGGGGCAGATGTTGGCAGTGACACACATATTCAGATAGTAATGAATATGTGCTAAACAGCCTCACATATGTTTAGCTTCTTTGAACTGCAATTTGATACACGTGTCTTATTTTAAAGGAAACTCTGCTAACGACATATTTAAAATGAAACAACTGCTGAATTCAAGTGGGCATTCACTCAGATAAAAGTTAGTATGTTTTTAGMTATTAGGAAATCTTTTGGTGTTTAGATATATTTTACTGTTAGCAGTTAGGAATATGTATCATTGTTAGGAGAAYGTTATGAGCATTTATTTCTAAATGCTATTTTCTTACCTTCTGAAGGGAAAAAAGAATGCTTGTGTATCTAGCTTTGTGGCCTTCTGAATCCTCAGAAGTATTTAGCTGCTGGAAGTCCAATGTTTTTAAAATTCCTTGATGGTGCTCTGGAAGCTGGAGAGGATTAGTTTATTGCTGCCTTGAAAAGTTTTCAGTTGCTATGGAGAGAGCTGCCCTTAAGGTAACAATGGAGGTGGATAGGAATTAGTACATGTTCTTCTTGTACTCGCAAGTTCTAAGCATTGCATTATTGAATTTATTTCACATATTTGAGTAGTTATCATTTTACGTAAACAGTCTGGTTTAGAAGTACAAGATGTATAAAATCTGCTAAAGAATGTATTTAATTATGATGGATAATACATGCAAGCATTCATAACTGTTCTCTGTGTTACTAAATTATCTGATTAATTCTACAACAACATGGATTTTGTTTTTTTTTAATTAAAATATTGCTACATTTTGAAAAAATAAGAACAAAATAGAAATATTCTCAAGTACACCCACAGAAAAAATGATTCTTTTTCTTTGCAAAACCCTGCCCATAGAGAACAGTCTCTTTCATCGCCACTTATTCTGTGTCACATTTGCACCAACTGAAAAAGCTGGGATAGCTCAGACTGTGGCGAAAAAAAAATTTCGTCCACCCACTCAGATTTCCAGAGGGATGCTGTTACAAAGCTGACATTTACATCACCGTGCCATTACAATATTATTGCACTGGAAGTTAGTGGAAATTGTCACGACTGACAGATTTCCACAGAGACTGGTGCACCAGTCACAGCATTCTCCCACCTTCCAAGCCTGCCGTGCTGTCATGAAGGGCTACCATCTCAGCTGGCTCAACAAATCCTGAGAAGCAGTAAGCCTATAGTGACAGAAAAATCATAATTCTCCTTAAAGCTAGAAAAACGAAAAAATTCTGGGTTCTAAAATGTCTGTAATGTCTCCTACAAGGTGCTGAGCTCCAAGGGAAAAGCCTTGCTTTGGCAAGACTGAGAACTGACAACTGATACTATAAAAGAATTGAACTGACAACACCAGCTTGAGGGAAGTGCAAAATGTAAACAAATGTCCTCAAAAATACAAAATACAATTGCATGTACAGATTCTTGTGTGATGAAGCCTGAGTACTTTAAAAATCAGCCCTACTTTTAAATATTCTTTTCCTTTACATCATAAATTACAAAAGATACTTATGAAACTAACATTGCTAAATATATCACTTTATAAAAACAAGAATTAAAGAAATATTCATATAATTTTTTATAAGAATGACTGAAAAGGAGAAACACATGATAATATGCCTTTCCTCTGGCTTTTATATAATTTGCGTTGTCAAACAAAGCTAACTRTGTCCAGATTGTTCCACTAATAAAAATAATTCCTCAGATAATGGGGGAATAGCTTCCAGCATTTAATTCGGGGGATTGCTCAATCTCCAAACAAACATAGAATAGATTTGTCTGTATATAATTTGATGTTTTGCATGTAACTACAAATTGAAACGAAGAATTCATTCCATCCAATTAAAGTGTGCAAACAGAGGGTGAATTGTTTCAGTTTACTGAGAAAAGCTAACATTTGAAAACAGAGTGAAGGTAAAAAAGGGAAACATTCAGTGCATTAAAAAGCAACAGATAATAATTGRTGCAGGCTACTGTGGCTGATCTCAAAGGGGAATTCACTTCCCTTTTTATGACYAAGTGTGGCAAACCTCCTCTGGCTTGGAAATGAGTGTCTCAGTGGTGGCCAAATCACTGACAGTGACTCAAGGCTCAGACTCTGCTTTTACCCTTGACACTGTGTTTTCAGTCGTGCCACTGTCCTTAAAGAACTGCTCTGTCTACACAACACTTGGATTGCTACTTTTGAAGTAATTCCTGGCATCAGTTGCTAAGTCCTTTCCTCAAACCCTTGTGCAGCAGCATTATTCCCCTGCCAGCGACCCATCCTGAAGCTGTGCCAACTGATCAAACGGGACCACAGCGATAACAGAGCTGTGCAGTTCGATGTCCATTAGAAATTTGCTGAGATACMCAAACAAAAATAAATCACTTGCACAGCTTAGTACCTTAAAACCTCCCAAAACACCTATCACTAATATTGTAACTCATGTGTTATGAGACTACCTTTTGACTCAAATTTGAGTGCATGCCTTTTGGAGGGGAAAAAAAGTCCTTGCACAATGCTCATAAGCCTGAGACTCCATTTACTGTAGAACGATAAATGCATGGAAGAAAGAAYGTTGAGAAGAATTGGAGGACTGGGGTAATTCAAAGTGAAGTAGATTATCATTATAATGTGACAATAGATGCTCTACAGCAAAACCAGAGTTATGTTGAACTTTCTGATTAAATAAACAATTTAAAAAAAATTATTATTCCATTTGCTTAGTTACATACCTTGGCATGATCAAGCAAGGATCTGAGATCAAGAATTTAAAAAAAAAAAATTAAATGAGCTTGAACAATTACCATGCTGAGGTACTTGCAAGAGAGTAACTGATTGCTCACAGGCATAGGTGAATGTCCCAGGAAATTAAATAAAAGAAGAAATAAGATAAAAAGAACAGTGATAAAAATGAGAACTTCTCAAAACTTCGTTTCATGACCAGATTCATGATGCCAGACAACGGCATATAATTTTTTTCCACCCACAGATGCAATCTTTTATGATTTAGAAAGCTCACAGAGTAATAACTTGTGTTCTTAGTGAAAAAGAGTGAAGGCAATTTAGAAATGGTATAACTAGACACARAACATGCAGCAAGGCCTCTCTGGTTATAGGGTTTTATTTAGTTAGTTTTAGTTTTAAGTGAAACAGTAAGACTAACTGCAGCTTATCTGGTTTCTCCCACCTTCACACCTGCTGYGAGAACAAAAGGAAGTTGGCCGTTCACAAATGTCATGGATAACTACACTCTGCAATTTACTGGGTTTCAAAGGATTGCTGAATAAATTATATAGAAATAGGAAAATTCTTTAGAGGACTCACTCTGAGATGACAAGGGTATTCCCATGAGCTCTACTGACATGACAAATGTCTTAATTTTATTTGTACAGCAGAATGGKAGAGAATGTAGGCACAATTTTAGCAAGACCCCTGCTGAACTTTGCATGATACTGAGCAATGCCGCTATATAGCTCTTAGTCCTTCTGTACTGTTTTACTTGTTTTGATGGACTAAGAAAATGCTTTTTYGCTTTTTACTAATCACAGCAATTATGGCAAATAGAAGAGAATCCTCTGGCACTGCAGCTTTCCTCCATGCTATTAATGTGATGTGTGCACATTGTATAATTACAGCCATAGGCAGCATATTGACATATGAAAGAACTACATTTTGTGTGTAATTTGTGTAGAATTTCAATACATAAAGCATCTTTGCCAATGAATTAATGCCAGAGTGCTGTAATAAAAAATGTCAGTACTTTAAAATTACCACAGTAAATTGAGCTTTTTTGGCATGTCATGCCAATCTTAACAATATCACATATATTAAGGCTTCCAGTGAATTTAAATAAATTAATATCATTGAAATTATCTGAGTTACATGTATTAGTGTAGAGTTATATATATATATTAATACTTGCACGCAGAAAAATCTTGTTTCATTTCTGGACTGCAAAATTCACCGGTTAGCAGAAAGTTTTCCGAGAAAACATGGAAATCTACTTACATTAAAATAGGACAGCAAGAAAGAAAGAAGTTATAGATTRCTATACACTCTAGGCCAGCAAAAGCCTCTTATATTTTAAGAAATACACCTCCAGGAGTGCCTTCTCACATATTACAGAATTAAGGTGACATTTAC